TGCAGTTCCCTATAAAACTAAGGCAGAAGAACTGACCTGACCCATGGTGATTTTTCCTTCCTTCTGGTCTTGGTCCTGTTCATGCTAACTTTAAGAGGGTCACTGATATAAAACCTTGAATGGTTCCTCATTGCCTATGGAATGAATCTAAATTCCTTAGCATGATGTTCCAGGCCCCTGTGGCGGAGCCCTCACCTTCCTATCCAGCTTCATTCCTCAGTACTCACCTCCCCACTCCTTCCGTGACTGCTATGTTCCACATTCAAACTCAACATATTTAAAAACCAGACTTGAGGGGCGCCTGGGTGGCTCAGTCGTTAAGCGTCTGCCTTCGGCTCAGGTCATGATCCCCGGGTCCTGGGATCGAGCCCCAACTGGGCTCCTTGCTCCGCAGGAAACCTCCCTCTCCCTCTCCAACTCCCCCTGCTCGTGTTCCCTCTCTTGCTGTGTCTCTCTGTCAAATAAATAAAGTCTTAAAAAAATAAATAAAAACCAGACTTGTGCTCTCCTATGCTACCCACAATATCTGTTGCCCCTTCCATGTTTCCTGCCTAATTTGTTCACTCTCCTCCTACTTGGGAGAGGGTACTCTGCACTTCTTCCCTCTTCCTAAAGCTCAGTGTCCTTCTCCCCAGCTTCCTGTGCTAACTCCTCTGCCATGATGATCAGAGCTGGCCCCTTCTCTCCATCCCCTGTCACTTTTAATTTAGGTTCTCCATCATCAGGATTTTTTTTTTTTTTTTGCATCCACTCTTGCCCCCATAAACCCACGTGCTCATAGGAGCTTGAGTGCTCATTTTAAAAATGTAAGCCTTATGTCACTTACTGGCTTAAACATTTCCAGTGATTTCTCTTTGCAGTATCGGTACCCTTTAGCCAGACTCCTAGGACAACACACCTGCAGTCAAAGATGGGTTTATTGGCTTGTTGCAGTGAGGGAGACGGCAGCATATCATGGGGAACTTTGGGGCACCTCAGTAAGGAAGTGTAAGCAGGGATTCATTATAGGCTTTGGACTTGGGTTAGTTTGGAGAAGGATACAGCGAAGTATAGTTTTGCTCTGAATTGGGTGCTGTGGGAAAGCAGGGGCAATTCTATGATTGGGTTCATTTTTATCTGGGTGGAAACATCAACCCCATACTGGCTGCTGTCAGAGTTGGTTGTACACTTCTCTGTGTTCAGCAGTTAAAACAACACCCAGATCCCTTTCCACACAGACTCTTCCCGCTCGTGAGCGAGAAAACAGGCGCTGATGTGCAGCGTTGATCCGAGGTGCGCAGCTCGATTGCAGTAGCGTCACAAGCTGGTCCGATCTAAACCTCATAGAACCATTACCTCACGGAAAGCTATCCTGAGACCATGATAAGTGAAACAAACAGCCCACTTCCTAATTTTGTCTAATCACAGACAAAAGCACAGTCCCTGTGGTGCCCAGAAAATCCCCAATCATAGAATTGCCCTCCCTTTCTGACAGTGTCCAAGCCCCAATCATAGAATTGCCCTCCCTTTCTGACAGTGTCCAAGCGGGAGCGAACCTCTGCCTTCCCAGGCCCTCCCCAGAGGCACCCAGCGGAAGCCTCATTCTACAGTAAGTTCCAACACTCTCTTACTGAGACACCCCATAGTTTCCCATGGTGTTCATTCTTCCTCGCTGTAACAAGGAATAAAGCACCTGCTTAACCACAGGTGTGTTTCTCCTTGTCTTTGGCCGAGGGCCTTGGCGCTCGCATCGTTCCCCTGCCCCTCCTGTTTTCAGCTGCTGTTGGCCTCCTTTCAGTTCCAAGAGAACAGGAAACTCAGTCCTGCCTCAGGCTTTGCCCTCACTAGTTCCCTGGGCCCCTGGTACTTGCTGTCAGGGTGTTTGGGGGCTGACTCCTCATCATTCAGATTTCCGGGGGAAATAACCACTTGAGAAAGCCCATCGTGACCCCGTCTCTTGGTAATTTTATAATTGCACTTTTTGATTTCCTACATAGTTCTTAGCCCTCTCTAAATTGTATTACTACCTTGAGAATAGCAGCATCTTCTTAATGGCTCTCTCTACCCCAGGCCACTTCCACGTCCAGGACAGCTCTCACAGAACCATCTGAATTGTTTTTCTAAAACAAAGAGAGTCTCTCCTGAAGGTACCTGCCCCTCACTCCTCCTGTCTCATCTCCTCCTGTGGCTCTTGGAGAACCCCACGCTCAGTCCCGGTGAACATTCGCAAACATGCCTCATGCCTGCCGGCAGCCGAGCATTAACCGTTTGCTGGTCCTTCTCCAAAATGTTCTTGCCCACTTCTCATTTTTTCCCCGAGGCCAAAACCCTAGTCATTTTTCAAAGTCTAGCTCCCAAAGTGCCTGTTTGGAGAAGTTCTCTCCATTCCTTCCTCCCCTCCTTGGGGCTCCCGCAGCTCTTCTTTCACGTCCTGGTGCGATCAGCTGCACCCTGACTTCTGTCCCCATTGGCTGTATACCTGTTGTCTTTCTCAGAGCTGTCCCCACCTGAAGTGCTTTCAGGGCAGGGAGCCACCTGCTGTCTGTGCCTCTTTCTTCAATTGTACAATAAGAATTCATACTGTAGGGGCAGAAAACTTCTTTCTTCCCCTCTAGGTTCATTGGCTGGTCTAATAATTAAATTGACAGAAGATGGATTAAGAAGAGAAAAGCAAATTTAATGTCGTACATACTCATATGAAAATATGAGACCCAAAGAAGTGACCGGAGCAGGCACATTTTACACCTTTTAGACAAACACATCCATGAGGAATTGACAAGACCCAGGGGTCTGGGCTTGGGGTAGTAAATGAGTGAAGTAACAAGGTTTGTTTAAACAGCCTTCTCAGCCCTCAGTTCTCTCTCTGGTGATGGGGAGGTCCCGCCCCTGGTACAGGGAGGGTACTCTCCCATGGAGATGTTTTTGCTTTCAGGGGACAAAGTGGGTGGGTGGGGGGGCAGAGCATCCTTTTTGCACTGGCTTTTTAAGTAACTTATCAACATGCCAAAGCAGCACATTTTGGGGTGGCCTGCCATAGTACCCACCTCATAGAGTTTTTGTGAGGAATAAAGGAGTTAATGCATGTAAAGAAGAATGATGACCGGCACAGAGTAAAATGAACACTGAGTAAGTGTTTGCTACTATCATTAATGGTCTTTTCTGTATCCTCATTACTGGTCCAAAGGAGGTATCAATATGTACTGTTGTTAAATTTGGTTGGAGCAGGGCAGGAAAACTGCTCAAAGCCTGAGCTTTGGAGCTTAGAACCAGGTTGGTCAATTTTTTTAGTGGCCTGCTAAGTTCTCTGTGTAACCTCCAAATCTCCCTCCACCCCAAGATTTGGGGATAAGAGCCAGGGATAATTGAAAGAGAAAGCAGTCCAAAACGTTTATCTAGTGGTATGGCATAGGGCTGGTCTGACTTAAAGATAGACACCTGCCTCAGAAATGTATTTTTAAAAAGCTTCCCTGGATCCCTTGTTTGAATGTCACTTATCCTGGAAGGATTAGCATATTTAGTCATTACCTCGACTGGGTCCCACTTTTCCCATATCAGGGGAGCGATGATATATTAGGACCACCAGATGATAGTGGAGGTGGCAGCCGGGGTGGCCAGAGGAGTCTGGGTTATGAGTTGCTGTTCCCAGAGTTTCCAAGGTTTGTTAGAGGAAGGGTTGCCAGAAAGTGCTGGATGCAAGGGAGTGAAAATGATGCAGAAACACCAGATGTCTCCTAGGATGAGGTTGGTCTAATGGAGAAGCAGGAAGACTAAGTTGTAGTTCTAATTCTTCTACTTTCTAGTTGGGACACCTGAGGCAGATTACTGGACCTCTCTGGCCCTGGAGGGTGCGCGCGATATATGGCAGGGGACTCTAAGTCTAAAGGTGTGCTTTGACACACCCTGGGCAGCGTCTGCCAGGGGGAGACTTGTCTGACCCCGATTACTGTGAATGGCACCTTTTGGGTGTAGACAACAGCTGGTCTCAGCTCTCAGGGAGGTGCAGGATTCCTGGCAGCTCCCTGTTAAGACTGGCTTGGCCTCTAGTGGCCAAAGGCTCACAGGCACAACAGGGTGACGTCTAGGCTGTGACCAGATGGGATCATGAGGAGCAACTGGTATTTCTCTGAGATCCTTAACAGAGCTCTCTCCTCAGCTGAAGGCCTTCCATGAATCCAAGCTATTTGAGCCATTTTATACTTGTATTCTCTATGTTTGTATGTCATTCACAAGTACTTTCAGATACTTGTCTAAACCATCAATCAACCTGTGAAGTTGTCATTTCCATTTCATAAATGAGGAAGCTCAGAAAAGGTGACTTGTCTCAAGAGTTTGGAAACTTACCAGGTTTGTCACAGAGCAGGATTTGGCACAAGTTTACACTGGCTTGATCCAAGGAAAGGGAATTACAGAGATCGAGAACGGACTCCAACATAAAATGATCTCAATTGCTAGGTGGCCCATGGCAGTGGGGTGTAGTGAGCCTGGGAGCCAGAACTAAAACTCCAAACCTGTCAGGTACTAGGAGAGGGGCTTGGGCGAGCTAATGCGCATCCTCACTTCCCTCCCCTATGAGATGGTCTCTCAGAAGATGAAGGATGATATCTGACATAAGTAAATGCAGTCCTCATACTACCCTGAACATGAGGATAAAAGTACAGCACCTCTTGGTAATTTTTATCGTTCCCAACTTAGTTTCTACCTTCAAACTAGACTAGAAATGGGCTAATTGGGGTTCTTCTCTGTCCTTCAAGTTTGCCTGGGGTTCAAATACTTGAAATTTAACCATACGAAAGGAAATCTGCCTCATCTGCAGGCTAGCTGATAGGTATGGGGCAATCTACCTTTTCTGGGTAGACTGGCCTTGGGAGTTTATCCCAGTGGCCTGGCATCATGGTGATTTACCTGGCACGCTTGACTGAGCATGGCCCTGGCTGGGAGGATTACATTTCATCCAATGTTGAAATCACTTGAAATTCTTCTTGCTCATCCAAAGATACAGAAATAAAAGAAGCAACTCATGGTCCTGCTGAGGCGAGATCTTTATTGTTAGCCGTTCTTGGATCTTTATTTTCTATCTGCCAAAAATAGATGGATCCAAGTAATGTAAGAATCACATGCACATGGATGTTACTGCACACCCCACACACATTTCACCAAAAGATCAAATTATATTTTTACTGTCTTTATCTGTAGACTTTAGAGCTCTATAGAAACTTTTGAATGGAAAGATGACATTTTTATCATTTTCACTTTTTCAACGTACCAACATTCAGAGGGTTCATTCTTGGGTGGGACGAAGCAGGAGGCCAAACCATTCTTTTTAAATGCCCTGGCCTAAACACTGTCTAGAGACTAACCCACATGCACACACAACGTAAGTCAATCGAAGTAATATCCAAACTCCTTCTTTCCCCCTTTTCTCTTCACCAGCCCCTTTCTCATCATGGTGAAAGCCCCTTTGCTTCCTGCATTTCTATTTTACTCCTTAGTATTAATATAGAGAAGGTGCTCAGCTACTTGAGGAGCTAAGGATTCAGTCATTCTAAACCACTTCTGAGATAGGTCTCCCTAAAATATTTACTGGTCCTCTGCTTGTTTGACCAGTGGTCACAAGAACGAGTCATCCATTGGGCTTTAATCCACAGCAGGCTGGAATGACAGCAATACCAAGGCTATGACTTTATTAAAACTCTCAATTCCCTCAGACCCATTTCAAAGCTAATTTTATTCGATGCTTGGCCTATGAGTTTGTGCCAATTTGCAAATTTTTTCCAAATCACCTTCTCAAATCAATGTAAAAAGAGTTTATCTTCTCTCATATATGCAATTCCTTAACAGATTCAAGAAAACAGAATCTCTCTCCCGCAGAGGACTTCTACAGGCTGTGGGAATACTCTTTACAAAATACAAGTTAGGGGTTAGGAACTACATTCATGCCTTTTTATTATTACACACACACACACATATAACATATATATCACTATATAGTTACATGTTATACATTATATATAAATTTTATATTTATGTATTATGTAATATAGTTTACACATATATAAAAATATGATTCCCCAGAGATCCGATCCATATATAGATCTAAGGAACAAGGAAACTAAAATCTAAAGGCCAAAAATCTCTTTTCGGTTCTGGATCCTTAAAGAAACCATACTTCCACAGTGTTGCCATTATTCCTATCTGTATTTAAGACACACACCTAGAACATGGACCTATTGTTGGTCCCTTCTTCACGGTGTTGTCCATTTCAGATAAGCATGATGCAGTCTACACATTTAGATCCATTCACGTTTATGACTTTGTTTTTAAAGTTAAGTGCTCACTTCTCCCTTATTTTATCTACACTTTTCTAAGGATTTTCTCTATACTTCTTTTGAGGCATATTGCAAGTTTTTTTGAAGAAGAAACTGGTACGGAACTCTTAGCCCAACGCTGGGAGTACATTCTCGAGACTTGCTGCTTGTGACCTAATCGAGACTTCTATAGCTTCCTATTTCCTCCCATTCAATAGTTAGTACTTGTACCTTTTCTGGACCCTCTGCCACTTTAAACATGCCTCTTATATATATATATAAATACTCCTTCACATGTAACTCAGGGCTTAAGCCATGTTCCATTGACTTTTGAAACTTCTGCCGACGTCTGCTCTGCCACATCTGCTGAATATAAGGACAAACCCTCGGAGAGGGGTCACTCCTTTCAGATTCCACAAGTCTGTAATCAGTCATTCCCCACTAAGAATTTGTAGTCACATCTTTCTCATTTGGTACTCAGACAACCTCTGAGACACAACTGAACTCTGCCCTCCTCCAGAAAGGGATTTCGGGCCCTTGCTAGCTCCTTTTAACACCCTAACACTTAAACCTGTGCCTCCCTCCCAATTCCAACCATTATTGATGTTTTCTACGCATACAAGCTCATTTCCACAAATGCAGACTACAGAGCAGGGCCTTATGTCCTGTTCTGCCACGGTGCCCAACCCAGAATCCTCCTAACACTGACCTCGGGGAGTTTTGGACACAAACCCTTGTGGGAAAAAGACACAAGCTAGGTCACCCCATCCCATCTCATGCAACCTATGTGTGCTAGCCCCCTCTGACTCATGGTTCACTTAAGAGCACAGGAGCTTCAAATAACTAAACTAAATTGATTTGGGTCCCACATCCGAGATGGTGGGTTTAATTGGTAGTGTGAAGTAACGTTATACCTGAGAACTTTTGAATTTACATTGCACCACTAGTTTCACAGGCATGACCACAAATGACCTTTCCATTAATGCCCACATTTACCAGTTGTCTTTCACACTGTTTCTCTCAAGAACATTAAACAGGGCATCCTGCCCCTCTGTTGTGAAGCATGGAAGCTGTGCTCTATATTGTTTCAGAATCGCTGGCATTCCCACGGGGAACAGAGTGGGCCTCACCCTCTCCTCATGACTAAGTCCAGAGAATGTGTGGTAAAGGAGTTTGTGACATTTTAACCTGAGTACTATTCCAACCATTGTCCATGAATGCTTGCTTACAGTGCCTGTATCGCTACACTGCTGATCACAGTAAACGTGAGGTAGGCTGCTATGAGCTGTGCCTAACCCAAAACATTTGTGGATACTTTATAAAGCAGGCTGTATTACTGCACATCCTCAGTTTCCTAATTTCAGAAGTCTGGTGAGCCTACTCTTTTCCCCAAACAGAATCTTAACATCTCTACTGCTCTCGTCTTTGCCAAGCGTGGGCAACAAATACTGCCTTTTTAACACAATTATGTCACTGACCTATCAGGACATATAATGGGGATTGTTTTCCAGTGCTGAGGATAGAATACTTGAATGTATTTTCCAACCCCGTGGCAAAGAGGTGCAGTGATAAAGGGTCATAATCAGGCCTCTGAAGTGAAGGACACGTAGCCTTTGGGATGAGAAATATCTGGGTTCAAACTTAAGTGTGCCATTTGCTAGCTGGGTAACCTTGACCAAGTTACAATTTTTCTCATCTGCCAGATGGGAATAACATTACCTCCCTCAACAGGGTTGTTGTGAAGATTATAATATACACAGAGCCCCTGGCATACCACTACAATATAGTAGATACTCAATAAATGTTAGTATTTTTATTATCCAAGAGTTTGAATTGGCTAGAGTCCAGGATTTTTAATTAAGCTTCAATCTTCCCAGAAAAGTCATCTAGGACTAAAGTTAAACATATTATTTATCCTGTCAGACTGTTAAATCCTTGTAAACTTAACTTAGTGGGTAGAAAAGGTTAGAGCACTACGGTGGAAGGATGCTGCCCTTGCCCCCATTCCCTTATGCCCCCCCCCCCCCACGCACGCCCAATTGTCCATGTCTCCAACCCTACTTGATGAAAATGCCTATGGTCTCCAAGGTTAGAAACTTTCAACCTTTCAAAACTTAAGAATGGGAAAGTGAGGCCTCAGGGCTGTGTACATTCCATTAGAAAAGGAAGGAGGGAGAGAGAGGAGGGATAACTGTTATATTTTCTTGTCATTAGCAATATAATGGCTCCCATGCACTGGAATCCCAGTCTGATGAGAAATGACTCGAAGGTCATGGATGGACCTCACTGTCCACTGTGAAAGCTCTCGCAACACCTTTAGGCCCCATAGCTTCTTCTCAAAGAGACCACCATCTCCACCAATGATGGGCATCCCATCAGCCTCGTTGGGGGGGATCTTGTGTTCCAGGAACATCATTAGTTCCTCCAGCTGGTAAGCAAAGGCAGCAACTTGGAGTAGAATGGTATGTATTGCTTGATGGAAATCCCCTTCAGCTGGAGTTAAATGCACCTGCTGGTCTTCTAAAAGCCTGGCCAACATAACATGGAAGGCACGGTAAGCTTGGAGGTTCTCTTGGAGTCGCTCCGCCTCAGTCAGCTCACTGCACTGATCAGTGCTTGCCAATGGCACACCATCCACAGAGTCCAGGTTTATGTTCTCGTTCAGGCCCTGATGCTTCATCTGGCCAAGGATACATAAAAACATCACATCTTCTGTAATTATCCCAAAATTCTCATTTAATCCCTAAATCTCATGTAAAGTTTTATTCACCTTCCTTGTCAAGGATCCAAATTGTAAAGAAAATAAAAATGACTAGACTTTAGGAAGACCTTATTCTCTCTGAAATGATACATACTGCTTTGACTACCTAGTCACTTTTGTGGGAGAATCTGCAGTTTTCATTAGATTCTAAAGGTTGAAAAACACTAGTCTACAATTTTTCCTTCCCACTTTGAACTCCCTCCTGGAAACTGGAGTACCTGAATCATACTGGAGTTTTAAGTATTTTAAACATACTTGAAGACACTGACCAGACCTTAGGAAGCCCTAGAATTAACCCAATGCAGCATTTTTCTAACCCCCTCTCCTTCATTATCCACTCTCAATGGTGAGGACAATCCTTTAGAGAATTCAGTGGGAATTAGTTAAACAAAAATTAAAAAATAAAAAAAGGCACTAAAGAGTCTGATTTCTAACTGGTGAGGCTGTACAAAGATAAACCAATTCTCAGAGAACTTAAATTTAGAACTCTCCTTCAGTGTTTCTATAATAGTAAGCCTTAGGTGGAGACTGATGGTGATCTCCCTCTATCAGAAAACCAATCTGGAACTCCATGGTTAGTTCCTCTGACACTTCCCTAAGTACCCAATGAATCTTCTAGGGAATCCTTTTGATAGTGTAGGTGACCATTCTATTTAGACACACAGAAACTTGATATATGTAATGAAAAAGTGGGTGGCTAATACTGTACAGAAGAAATTCTTTGGGTTTATGCTGCTCAAAAATTCAGAACAATGTGAATGAAGAACCCACACTTAGAGGGCACATGGTTAATCTATTCTCGTAGAATTCAGATTGTAAGCAAATTAGGAACAGCCTCCATGACATGCAGCCAATCCCACTCAGAAGCCTATGTCTATTTTTCTTATTCATAGATCAGGTCTCCTAAACAGCCTAGAGAAAAAAATAAGGGCACAGGAGTTTCCTTAAGGGAAGGAACCAGTCCAATAATAGGTGCCCAATCTATGAATGACTATATGATTAGGGCCCTCAATGATTGGTATTGGGAGCTAGAACATGATAGCAAGGGGCTGCATCAGAAGACATGAAGTGAAAACAGACAACAGCAAATCAGGCAACTTACATAAGATTCCAAAAGAGCAGTCAGGTCTGAACGAATCTTCCTTGCTAGCCAGATAGAGCGGCTACAGAGGTCCCGGCGGTGAGGGGTCAGCGGTGAGTGCTCTGCAAAAGCCATCCCCTAACTCAACTGTCCCAGGAAACAAGTGAGCTGGGTTTGCTACTGTCTACACTGGTCCAAATAAGAAATGTGACTCTCAGACTAAATCCACTGGGCATTCTCTACTAATGGGATTGTGCACCCCACCCCCACGCCCCTGCCTGACTCAGAGGTGGCAGCAAATTCCTGGCTGTGGATTTTTGTGCCTGTGGAATCAAAGGCCCCTTTTTAATCAGCTTTTTTTCCTGCAGTGTCTGCCTCCATCCCTCTCCTCCACTCAGTGCTGAGCCTACTTGTTTTTATGTCATTGTTTTGCTTTTGCACTTAGCAACAAGGTCACTATCACACTAATCCTCATGACACCCCTGCCCAATGTGATCTACTTTACATACACACGATCACTTTGTTATCACCCTCCCTTGCACTCCCCATGTCCTCTTCTTTCTTTCTCTCTCCTTTTTTGGCCTAGTAAAGTATTCAATAATATTATGTTATTATCATCAATACAGCTGCCACTGATTAAGCCTAGCTACTCTGGGCCAGACACTGTGTGAAAGGCTTTAAAGCCTTTATTTGAGTTTTAGAATAGTTCTATGAGATAAATATTATTTCCATTTTACATTAAGAAACTGAGGCTTAACGAAACTAAATAATGTGCACAAAACCCAGCAAGCAGGCACAAAACTTAAATTAGGTCTCTGATTCTCCCATTGACTTTGCAATTTCATTCTGTAGGATTTTCACATTTTGTTCAAGAAACAAAATTTATGCAAAATAGGTCCTTTAAAAATATAGCATCTTTTCATTGTGTAAAGTTAGTTTCATTTACACTCAACTAAAGATCAGCAAAGTAAGTCATCTCTAACCTTGATCATGGTGCCTTCCTTGCAGCTACAGGATGAGGAAGGTACTGTTCAGGCCTGTTCTCTTCCAAAGGACAGGAAACACCCAACCCTGACTGGGAAACATTTCTACGGCAGTCTCAAGGGACAACATGCTTTCCTTTTTCTTCCTTATCCCAGTCATACCACATTGCTTCTTAACAAAATACGAGAATGAGCTGGGCTTTGAAATGAGGACAAAAGAGTTTAAAAGCACGTGCAGAGTTCTCTTCTATTGCATCTAACTTAACTCTGTAGGTTAGATAATGCTCCCTGAGCAAGAGCTGCAAGTGTCATCCCCAAATCAATTAACTTTCACTATTTCATACCATAGACATCATCTCTAAATCGAAACACACACCTTTTCAGGTGCAAACTTCCATAGGGAAACAATAAACAAGGGGTGGAGAGGAGGAAAACTGAGACTGGCACTCACAGTAGGCCTTTTAAGAAGGTAGGAGGATTCTATTTTTATCTTTTTTTTAAGTTAGTACTCATTGTGGACACAGTTTTATGAAAAAGCACTGATATTAAATGCTATCAAGGTTCTGTCATTATCAGACTAACATAAACCTCATAGCATCCTTAACGTTCTTTCTACTAGATTAATAAGGCCATCTTTTCTAGAACTCTGTCAAAACACTGGAGGGGTTTCCAAGTTGGCCAGATGATCAAAGAATCCTATGGCAACTCAGCATTAGAGATCAAGAACGAAAGAGTCAGAAGTGAACTATCTGACTCTGCCGGAGAGAAGCAATAGTACCTGCCACATAAACCCTGCGCTGGGGGCACTGGATTCTCAGCAGCAATCAATTGTTTTAACCCTTAGGATAACTGTAACTCAGTACAATCAAGGAAGACAAGTTGCTTCCATGAAGACAACTTTTATTTTTCTTCTTTACATATTTATTTTGGATATGCCTTACCTAGATTAAGAGAAAACAAGGATTTGAAAAGCAGAGTATCCCTTTTATTATAATTTCTTTTTACATAACCTTTTCAACCTAGATTCAGGTAACTACCTGTCTCTCCCATCAAAGGAGAAGGGTCCTGCACATTATAACAGGCAAAAAAGGCTTTTAGGAAATAAAAATATTTTAAATTGATCCATTACAATTTTTCAATTTTCTTGAGTACATTGGAAAGTGGGAAAAAGAAGGAGGGAAAAATGGTACTTCAAATAACCAGACTGTAATAACCTTAGCTGGGTTTAGTACACTCTTTGTATTTTTTCCAACAGGTACAAAGGAGGTTCAAGTGCTCTATGTAGAGGCTTTCCATACCTGAATTCCTTTTTAACTTCCAGTAATCCTGGTCAGTGTTTATCCAAACTCTCTGGAGCACAGTAAGTCTCAATTATGCAAGTAACCCTGGGCAACCAGAGACTAGGGGAAAGCGCATCTCCCAGAAATAATACTTGTATCTCAAACTACCTTTTCAGAATTTTGAACTGCCAATTCAAATTGGAGAATGTGCAATGGGAAGAGTTATTAAAAAGGTAACCCAATTTGATTAAGAGTACAAAATGCAGAATTTTAAGACTAAAAGGGCTCCTTGGAAGGACACAGAAGTAAACAGCATGAGAAGCAGACAGGGAAAGGGAAGAGGGCCTAGTTAAAGACGGCTTACTTACACCACTCTTATTGTGCTACCATCCCTTTATCAAAAGGAAAAAAGATAAAGTCCATGGAGAATATGTGAAGATTGATTGCAAACTGCTATAATAATTTATTGAAGGAAACGGTAGGCAAGTGGTACCTATAAAGAGGTCAAAAAACAAAAGGAGGAAGAATAGAAAATTTCTAATTATTAGAACTAACTTGTTGCTTTGGTGGGGAGGAGTGTGGTATAGGGAAGAACGTATTTTCCCTCAATCTCATCAAGTTTTTTTATGCAGTTTGCTTCTGTGTAGGTGGTTAAAATATCTGATGACTAACCACTGCAAAAACAACTTACAGAGACAAAGGAGAAGATAAATGTGACAAAGACAAAAGGTAATAGTGTGGGGTACAGATGCGAGCTAGTGAAAAAGTACAAAATGGACTTATAATGGGAGTGGAACAACTTTGTTGTAAACCCACCCAATCAACCTGATAGTATTTTCAAATGTACTCAACATACCAAGTCAATTCCAAATCCTTACTGTGGGCAGGAAAGCATATTCTATATCCCTTCTATCCTTACTCCATTTTCTACCCCCACACTGGAGGGATGGCAAATCTGCAACACTCTGAAAAGAAACAATAGTGCATTTAAGTCTATTCTCTGTAGGTGTCTGACTCCCTATTCCCTGGCATCCCAACCACTGACATTAGTGGGTGTAAAGTAAGCCTCTTTCAGAGATGACATTGTTACCCCTCTTTTTGGGAAAAAAATAAATCAAAGAGAAAATTGATAAACTTTGTAGTTTTAGTGTTTGTGAAAAACAAGCTGTTCCTTATTTTGCTCTCAGCAAAACTTCATTCTTTTCCAGCAGCCATCACACATTTCTGACAAACAATGAATAGGGAGAGCCTTTAATTCCAGCTTGTGAGGTACACAGGAGAGATACTGCCCTTCTAATTCTCTAAAAATGAGCCAAAATAGGTTTTTAGTCTTCTGGGAGCTATAAACGTACAAAAACACCTCCTGCCTCTCCCATGGCCAGTAATAGGCAGTCCACCCCAAGAAAATCCCTATCTCAATGGAAGCGGTTATTCCCAGAATTTTAGGTGAAAGCCAAAGCCATTATTATAGATTATTGTCTATGGAAGCTTTCCTCTTCTGAAGTGTTACTTTTATAAAAGGGAAACAAAACAGAGTAATTTTCTTTGACTTCAAACTGTACGAGTCATAGACTATCTCTTCACTAATGGTAGTGTCCTTCACTAATTGGGAGCTGGAATGAAACAATGATAAAGCAAAGCAAAACCAAAAACAAAGCAAGGGGCCAGAATTGGGCCAATAGGAAGGTGTATAGAAAGAATTGATGGGGATAAAAAAAGAAAATAAATTCACAAGAGAAAATCTTTTATCTGTAATTCAGACCCTGAACAACCCTTCTCTCATCCCCTCAAAATTCCTAAATCGCAATGCTCTAAAAACTGAAAGAGCACTAGTTACCAAAAACCTAACATCCTTCCCTAAAAAGGCTTCTTCTGAAAAAGCACTAGGCTACTGTAGTGATTTTGTTAGTGCTGAGGACCAGCTTTCTTTAAAGGCCACTGGAGAGCTATGATTTTAGAGGCTGGCTGTGCTTCTTCAACCCTATATCTTGCCTTCAAAAGTACCTCTTATGGAAAGGACCCCATGTCAGAATAACCTAATCTCTCCCAGCCCCACAAAATATAGCAACGAAGACCCCCCCCCAAAAAATATCAGACTTTCCGTTAATAAATAAGGAATCTCAGGTTCCACAACACAAAAACACACATGTTCAAAGTGCAAATTTCTGCCATTAGTCTGGGACTTTTCTCACTGATACAGAGCCCTCCCTTATGGTCAGAGAAACCATGTAGAGGGCAGCACCCCCCCCCCACAAGTTGGGAGCCTGCTTCCAAGCTAGTGAGCACCACTGAGAACCAGATGGAGGTGTTGGAAGGGGATTGAAGTGCTGGGGTCACAGAGGAGGGAGGTTGTCCCCGTGAATCCTTCCTTTCCAAAACCCAGCGGGGAATGGAGGGAATGGGCTTGAGTGAGAGAGGTGTGCTGTTTTAACAGCTCACCCTAAGGGGCCTAAAGTGCCAAGTCAAGCTGCCAGCCTCCAGAGATTAGAACTGTATGATACTTTGGGGATAGTGTGCTGCAGTGGGTAGAAGCCAGAACCATAGGGCAGCAGTGAAGGAGAAGGGGTTTAGAGGACAGTAATATACTATCAAGAGTTAAAAGCTGATCCAGAGCACATCAGAGTTACAGGTTTAAGAAGGGATCTGCCGGTGAGCAGGAAGTCTGCCTGGCTGGAACTGAGTAGGAGGATAACTCTCACTTTAAGAGCTTCTTTTTTGCCTACCTTTTTGGTAAAGGCAACATCAATTTTATAAAGGGGACAATAGAGGGAGAAGAGGGTGGGTGTAGGTGTGTGTGCTGTGATCCACAATGGAAAGAGCAGGCCCTTCAGTTATTTTACTAGATTTTAAATGCTTTAAATTTTTTTTGTCCTTTTTATCTTTTAAATACAAAGTCTGAGCTGTCCCAGTGCCCAAAGTCTTCCCTTCCACTAAGGTCCAGTAGAG